AACCCTCCCTTCTCCATGATAGCTCTTCCCTCTAAGACTCGGGAATAAGAGCCACAAGCCAAGATGGGAGGGGGGGGGACTGTTGTTCTCAGGTTGGCAAAAATGAAACCGGATCTCTGTGCAACATATCTCATCACATGGGCAAATGAACGTGATGTCCTTCTACACGGTTAGGAGTCGGATGTCTCGGGAAGGGAATTTCTAGACCGGCAATACTCTCTAGAATGTGAACTCCGGTCCAGACATCTCCGTGGCAGGGGCTGTTGTGAACAAAAACCAGCCCTAGATTATTTATAACTAGTGTTTCTATACTTCTGCTCCCCATCCCCCACCACCCAGTCTTCCCTTGGCCGTCTTCCCTTTTTTTAAACATGAAACTTGGCTTGAGACTAGTTTACTGTTGATTTGAGCCAGGAATGCACGTTGCACAAATGTATTTTTTTCAGAACAATATCAAGGGAGACAATGCACTTTTTCCTTCTTCAAAGTATATGCAGTTGATTAGAGGGTAGGGATGTCTTGCCGATTCAAAATTCATTCCCCTTTTTCTTAATGTTCCCAAGGTACATGTGAAAGAGCGCTAACCAAAGAAAAATCCCTAGAATTTTCTTTTATTTAAATGAACACATTACGGTTTTATGCTCGTACCAGGAATAGGAGTCAGTGTTGGTCCAGGATGCGGTGGTGTGTGTTTGGTGTTTAAGAAATGCTCTGTTACGGAGATCGGCGCATTTGCCCCTCTGGTCCACAATAAAGACGTGGTTCTCACAGTGGGGGTAGGAAGCCACCGAGAGTGGCTATTCTTAACCACCCAAACGCTAAGCCTAGTTTCTAGCTGGTAGTAATACTATACCTCTAATGGAGCTCTTCAGTGACCTTCTCAATTAATATACCCATTTTGAAAGGTATTATCCTATTTTCCTAACAAGTATTAGGGGCGCTTTCATGTGTCAGGGGAAGACGAGTAGCATAATCATGAACTTGAACTTGCCAAAAAGCCCTGACAACTAGGGTGAATACGGTTCTCAGAGCTGACTTTCCAAGCCTACGCAGAGAAAGTTAAGCTGGGATCACACTGGGAAATTTGGAGCGAGTTTTGAAGTTTCTGTCCTTTATTGTCTGCTCCTGATTGGTACCGAGCATTGCAGTTCCCACTGCTATGGGACTCGCGGGTGCTTTGCCCACTTCCAAATTGCACTTGTGTCCTAAATTTAACTCTGTGCTGAATCTTCTGTTTGCATCATCCCCAGGAATGAGGTTTTGGGGTTTCGTAGTGCTGTATGGGAGGCGACATGCGGTAGGCAGTGTAATAAGATCAAGCCGTGGACCCTGATTCTGAAGCTTTGATGCCCATCGATTTGAGGGAGAAGAGGCGAGCAGTCGGCTGCCAGCGGTTGGTGAAGTGACGGTTGTCTTCCATCCTCCGCATGCAAGTGTCCCGAGGCGGAGGTGGAGTTTCCTCTAGAAAGCACGCTTGGAGGCTCCGGGTTGCAGTCGCTTTACAACCTCCCCTGGTCCCAGCTGAGAACATGGTCCGTTTCTGCTGCTGTCTGCTCCAGGTGCTTGCTTCTGTGTCCAAGCCCGAGCTCCCCTCTTCAGTCTGCTCTGCAGCCACAAGGTTCAAGTCTCAGAAAAGCAGGAGACTGACCAGTGGTAGCTTTTGCTTGCGAATGAACGGGATCCCTTTTAACCAGATCTCTTCCCAGCCTTTTTTCCCCTTCTCCGTGGGATTTAGACCCCCTGGAAGGTTGTTCATGCTTCAGGTCTTGCTGTCTGCTCTAAGCTGACCTGTTGGTCTTGCCCTGCGATCCGCAGAGCGCTAGAAACATCTTCTCCTCTCTTGGTCCTGATGATCTGTCTTGGCTCTTTATCCCCATCTTGTTCATCTGAGATTGCCTTTCCTCTGAGCACGTTCTCTTCCTGGTCAGTCCCAAGTGACCTGTTTCTGCAGCTTCTCCTAAGGACTCGGGACGTTTTTCTCCAGGGTCTCACGGAGTCAAAATCCTGTCCTCTGACTACGTAGCACGTCTGGGATTTCCCAGCCTAAATGTTTAATAGCAAACCGC